CATACAAGGCAGAAATCTTAAGGACTGCCAACTAGAGATTTTTTCCACATAAGAATAAATGTATATGACATGTCTCGTACAATAATGATTAGACTTTGGCTTATCTTTTTTTATACATTAGCAACATGCTCATGTAACATTTCACTTGACTAATAACTTTGAATGACTGATAATATGATTTCAATAATAAAAACCTAACCCTTGGGGATACAGAAAATTCTGATATGAAACAGGGAGGAGGGAAACAATAAAAGATATGCAGTAAATTAATAAGAAATGAGAACGTAACATAATAGAAAAAAATTGATTAAATAGGCCAATAAAAATGAAGTTAGAACTCAGTTACCTCGATCAGATATTTCATGCACCAGCCTATAAGTTGTACTTATATTAAATGAATAATGTTGATAGTACCTAGCTAGCTAGGGTGAAACAGATGAGGCAGGAACCATGGCTTGAAAGTTGAGTGTTAAAGCTAGTGACGTGGATTTCCTCAAAAGGCAGTGTTCACTATGAATTCTCTAACTTAAACACATTGACAATTATTTACTTGTGTACACTGTGAAACACGTTTAAACAGCTCACAATTATCATAGCTTTTGAAATTGTATTCATTCCATAGTTCTATGCATTTTTACCAAGCATATTCCTTGATACGCTATAGTTAATCATAACTAGCATATTCTGAAGACAACTTGTGTATTAGTCTCACATAGTCTACCGATCAGTTTACTTCTCCTACCAGTCAGCTCTATATGCCACATCAGTCATACGATGGCCAGTCAGAAAATGTTATTACTTACAGCTGAGACGGGATAACCTTCTAATATTAGTGTTAGTGTCACTCAATAGCCATAGTTACAATATTACACTTTATAGAAAAGTGACATCTGTTGTATGAAAATGCAAGTTAGCGACCCAAACATCGGTGGGCAGAATAAGGCTGGAACACATGACATAGGCTGAGACTTTTCTATTCATCAAGCAACACAATGCTCCGTAAGTAAGTCTATTTCGACCTGTAGTCAAACAGAGTTGCACGCCAAAGCTGTTTACTAACTATAACTTATACCAAAAAATTAGATAAGTTTAGAAGTGCGAAAAAAAGAGGATTGGCTGAAGGAGGAATAATCAACTTCGAAGTCAAACCATATTTAGATATCACTATAACGACATGCTTTAGAGTGACTTCTCACAGGAAACGAAAATATTGACTGATAGTTTTTGTTTTGTTCGATTATTTACCTGCCTATGAATGTGTTTTATTTTTAAATCTTTACAGACGAAAGGGAAAAGAAAAAAAATGTTTTCTAACAGGCAAACATTGTGTTGTTTTTTTATTTCGCCTTTTAATAAAAAGTAAGGTTATTACATCATAAAGATGCTAATATAAGTTGACAGACGCCTACGCATACTCAGCAAGAGATAATAATAATAATAATATGATGATGATAATGATGATAGATAATACTGATACTAAAGCTTTATTTCAGACAATATGTGTATGCATAGTACAGAATTTCCCTACGCATTCACTTGCAAAATATTCTGCTCTTCGTACAAGTAAAATAATCTCCAGTTTATCATGTGATGCAGTGTCCTTCCATATGAAGAAAGATCCAATTATCTACTATGTTTTTCCCTTTATTTCTTTTAAGGACTGTATATCATTTTGTTGAAAGCTAAGCTAACTAAAAATGTGTGCGAGTTCGTGTGGTGGTCAATAAATATAATAGAATCATTAAAACAAAAAGAAACGGAGAAGAGCTTAAACATTATGATTGATGAAAGTTTTGACAGCCCAGTGATTTGAGCAGGCCACTAGAATTGGTGATATAGACATGTTTATATATATATATATATATATATATACATGTATATATATATATATATAGATGTAACAGTTTCGAGTTTGTTTATGTATAAGCGATATATTAACGACACCGTCATTATTTGTAACGACAATTGTTCAGTGGCCAACCTTCTTGAAAAATTTAATGGTCCTCGCTCATCGATGCTTTTCACTATGGAAGAAGAATCGAATTCTGTGTTTCACTTCTTAGATGTGATGCTAGATAGAAGAGATGATGGCATGATTTATCGAAAGCCAGCATTTACAGGGGAGTACACTAACTTCAACAGTTGAGTACCTCTAGGTTCTAGAATTCGGAAAATTTGCTGTATAGATATGGTCGATATGGAACTAGAAAACCTTCGCACAACTCTCTTAAATAATGGATATTCTAGAAGGTTTATTGACAGAAACACCAGGAAAGAAACCGTCTCCAGCCAAATCACAGTACCAAAGAAGACACTGTTTATGAGTTTGGCGTTCAAAGGTGACACCGTTGCTAAAGTCATTAATTATCTAATTGTATTAAACACTCTTTTATGCAGCTGACTTACATTTAGTATTTACCAGCCGAAATATGATTCGGCAATGCGTTAGAGACAAACTACCGCTTATCTCCACCTCTATGTGCATATACTCATTCACATGCTCGTGTGGAGCTGATTACATTGAACTATGTAAGCATGTTCTCCGTAAACGCGTAACTGAACACTACCCGGTTTGGTTAATGAGAGGTGAGCACAGGACGATGAAGTCTTCAATTTGTGAACACATTCTGGAGTCAGGTCATTCATTCCCACGTGATTTATCCTTCAAAGTTATTTACATTATTTATTATTATTTATTCCTTTACGTCTCCAATGGAGCATAGGGCTTCAAGCTAGAGGCTTGAAGTTTCAATTGCAGTGGTGTTTACTTTTACGGGATGGGGTTGCTAGCCTCATGCCCAACCTTCCCTCTTTACCAGTCTTATTACTGGCTTACTGAAGTAAAGGAGTACATCGGCCGGGGATCGAATCCCGGACCACATGCGTGGTTGGCGAGCACTCTGCCGCTGCGCCACCGACACACTTCAAAGTTATTTATAGGACCAAATCCAACCACTCAAAAAGCTTACGCTTTCTCCACTTATGCATAGCCGAAGCTCTAGCTATACATGGACAGAAACCTAAACTATGTGTTCAAATACGTTTTGTTAAACCCCTTTCTTTACCTTGGTCATAGTTATGTTCTTTTATTTCATTTTAATTTTTAATTTACTTCACCACTTGAATTAATTCCACTTCATATTCAACTAAGCAAAAAATGAAATTATATCTTAATAACCGAATTATCCGCTAGATGAACATCATGTTCGTTAGCGATACATCTACGACAAAGGAAGAAATAAAAATACACACACTTCTGAAAAGCAAATGTACCATAATGAATCTCGAATTTAAAAAGAAAACCTTAAAAACTGATGATTAGTTATGTCTTCAAAAATAAAACATAGTATAGAATTTTCCACTTATAAATTACGCAATCTGAGGTGATAATTCATTATAGTTTCCTTCGCAAGCCAAAAGATTTCAGATCAAATACTTGGATGGCTCAGTTTCCAAGCCAGACTGTGATAAATTCTTAACATGAACTGTATAATTTGTTAGTGAAGAATTCGACTCTATGTATTCCCAGTTCACCAGAGTAGCTAACCAGAATTCTAGCGGTTTGATGTGATTTAGTTCTCTGGGTTAGATCTCTTTGTTGAATTAAACAACTTTAAACTAAAACAACGTGAATGCATACTTGATTGGTTTTAAGAATCAACTTTCAAAATGATCGGACCCCAAGATCACGGCGGCCTGCTTAAACCACTGGGCTACTAGAGTTTCCAGCCATCAAAATGCTTAAACTCTTCTGCATTTCTTATTGTTTTAATCATACAATTATATCAAGTGACCACTACATGAACTCACACACATATTTAACTTGCTTTCAGCAAAACACTGCGGAATTCTTGAAGGAAATTAAGAAAAAATGTACGGGATTGGTTCTCTGTCCATGTGTAACAACACTATGCCACATGACATTTTTCTATTCCTTCACGTTCCCAGTGGAACATTAGGCTTCAAGCTAGAGGCATGAAGTTTCTGTAACAGTGTTGTTTATTTTTACGGGATGCAGTTGCTAGCCTCGTGCCCAACCTTCCCTCTTTCCCAATCTAGGTTTAAGGAATGCGTCGGCCGGGAATCGAACCCCGGACCATATGGGTGGTCGGCGAGCATTCTAACTTTGTGCCACCGACGTCACATGACATGCTTTAGATAATTTTTTACACGTATATCCATTCTATATGAAGACGAAATAATTTGAAACGCTGACAATTTCTGTACTATGTGTTCACATATTGCCTGAAGTAAAGCCTTATTAATATTATCAAACTTTTTTCCTCATATTTCGATATACGCGGTCATCCAAAAGTATCACTTGAAACTCCACGAAAATTTATTGTTAAGAGGACAAAAGGACTGAACAAGAAAATATTTGCTTAGATCTTTCCCCATGCTTCTCATATATATATATATATATATATATATATAGCATTTTTAATACTATAGTAGGGCTGTAGAAGAGGACCTAATTGAAAAGTAGATATTTCTTCGCTCAATGCTTTTGTCTACTTAATGTCTAACTGGGGACTTTTTGCATACTGAAATTTACTGTCACTTATAGGCAGTTGCTGAAATATGCACATTTGTAACAAGTAATTGATATTCGGTGATCAACAGGCAATCAACATGCCTCCCAGCAGATTAAAAACGTACTCCGATGTCGGGTCACATAGCACTGATGATCACATTGCAAGGCTGAGTGATAGAATTCATTCAGCACCAATATTCAGGAATAGACACATATTACATCGGGTGGTGAGAACTCCCTTTTTATCCGGCACCAGGCTATAAGCCATACACATGGTTGACGACACCACTACTAAGTCGCCCAGGTTGAAGTAGGAGGAGAGGGGGATTCGAACTTGGGACTCACTGACTAGAAGTGGAATACATCGGCCAATGAACAACATCTCCATCAAGTGAATGGTTACTCTTGAGTAACAAACCAGTGTGTAACAATTAGTGGCTTAAAACTAACAAATGATGCAACTCACCTGATAAGTAAAATGATACGTGAATTTCACCGGCAATTGAACCCGTGATGGTTGTGGCCATATGAAACATAATGGTAAATTTTGATATCCTGGATGCTCAGAATTGAATGTATCAAAATTTGAATGAATTATTTCACTGCTATTATTGTTATTATTATTACTATTTACAATATTATTTGAAGACTGAATCTTAATCCACTTCTTTTCACCATATTCTGGTGTTAATTCTGGCCAATTAGAATTAATCCATGGTAACAATGATATCATAAATTGACGATAATTTAAATTATTATTGCTTTCATTCATCAATCTTCCTGAATTTAATTTCTCTTTACTTGATTTATTATCAGAAGTTGATAATGACAATAATAATTGTAGTGAATCTTTTTTCAACTTTGATTGAATTGTTAGAGGGATATAGTCTTCAGTACGAAAATTTCTGGAATTTCTCATTACTGAAAAACCTAGTCACATTTTGCCATATACAAAGATACACAAATACAAAACGGAAGAAAATAAAAAGAATGGTTATTGTTTAATTTATAATATGAAGTGCTTTTTAATAATGACAAATTATATCTAAATAAATTAGATGTACGGATATTAATATTTGTGTAAGACTTGGACATTGTGGTAGTATAATATAGAAGATTTGTAGCTCAAGTGGATGATTTGCAATTAATAGTGTTCTCTGAGCTGGTTGGTTTAGTTCCGGAGCTTTCATCGTCCAGAAAATCCAAGTCAATAGAAAATAGTCAATATATATGTAGAGATGGTTACCGGGAGACGCAATTATATCACTCATGAAGAAATTTAAATCATTCCACCTTATGCTAAATATTGAGCTGAAGATGTTGCTCAGAAGGACGACGAAAGCTCCGCAACTAAACCAACCAGCTCAGAGAACACTATTAATTGGAAATTGTGGTAGTATATAATTCCATATTAATTCGTTTACTAGATAATATATCACAGAGTGAAACAGTTTTATTATTTACTGGATGACGTTTCGAACATAATTCATCGTTCATAGTCACATCAGTTATAATCACACAACTTCGAAACTTCAGTTTTATAGTTTTCTTTGTTTTGTCCTATTTTTCGTAGGGGTAGCAGAGTTCTCCAGATGTCTAGGACAAGTGTTTAATCACTCCTATTACACGTGTTTGCAGTTGATTCGATAAACAAAGATTCCGTTGTCAATCTCTCCCTCCATCCTGTTACATTAGATTTTAAAACTGTCATCTTATCCCATCCTATTGTATGGTTTTATGTGATTGCATGCAGTGCTATAGCTGAACTATTGTCCGAATTTCTTATTTTATTCGGGTAAAATAATTTAGATTTTACTAGGTTTCTATGCTCCCGGCCGACAACCGCCACCTTGTCGTGGTGGTCGGGCCTGAATACCGCAGTGACCCAACAAGCTAAGCTGTCTGAGACTCATGCTTCTGTAGGTCTTACAATGTCAGGAAGGTTGTTTGGATAGCCGTTAGACTAAAAGCAGTTCCCATGGGATGCATGGACTCCAGAATCCAATAGGATTAAATGGCGTATGAACCTGTATTGGTCAGCAGCCACCGTGGGAACGTAGCTCCTGACGCTGCTCCGCTGCCTTGCAGATCAGACTTCAAGTCAAAAGCTCCGGGGGTGATCCCTTAAGATAACCACCTGCTTCGGTCTGGGCGTCCGGGCAGTATCTCAGCCTTCACACAGTCAATGAAATGAAGCAACAAACTGTGGGTGAGACTTATTGCGCGCTCTTAACAATGCTCTCGAGTGACGCATCTCTTTCCAACCTTTTATTTTTATACCTAGACTCCTGTGTTTTACTTTTGCTAACCCTGACGTCTTCAATTTCGTCAGCCTTTCGCCTTGGTCTAAATTCCTAGCCTATCTATGCCGTTCCGAGATGTTAGTGAGAAGCCTTCAAAATGGTTTTCCCCAGTGCGGCACCCAACACAGATATCCTGAAACCGTGTGTCGCGGTCAGCCTGGCCACCTACAATGCGTCGGTGGCACAGTGGTTAGGACTCTCGCCGACCATGCACATGGTCCGGGGTTCGATCCCTTGCCGGCGCACACCCGATATCTATGGTCGGCCTGAATTTGGGCTACCGATATCCATGCTGAAAATTCCATACCTGTACTGAAAATACGGTGTGGAATCAAGCTGTAAATAAAAAAAAAAATGTCCGGACACTAAAGCAAATCGGACAACAGGCAGGTTTAGTAAGAACATTGGAAAGCCTTGCTATTAATATCTGTTGCATTTTGGAGACATGTATTCAAGATCACAATGAAGTGCTTCGATTATCCTCTCCATCTGAAAGTTCGAATAGTATGTACCACCTGTGTTTGTCCGGAGACAATGTGGCGTCGGCATCCGGCGTAGCTGGTGTCGGTGTCGCACTAAGCTCTAGAGCCGAAGCTGCATTACTCGACTGGATTGCCATTAACAGCCGTTAGGCTGGGAGTTTACACGAAAGTAAGGAGTAGTAGGCCACATAGGCAGTTACTGTTTGTTGTTTCTGCTTATAATGCACTGACGGACTGCAGCCTGGATGCAATTAAGGATGAGTTCTACTACCAAATGAGCGACCTCAAGAAAAATAGGCGCGTCGGAAAGATATCGTAGTGCTGGCTGGGGACTTGAATGCACAGGTCAGGCGTCTACGTCCATAGGAGAATCGTCCAAGTGGTCAGTGGGGTTTACATCGTCGCAGGTAAAATAATGGGGACCGTCTTATGCAGCTTTGCGCAGATCACAACCTATTTCTAGCCAGCACCAACTTCCGGTACAGCCACCACCGTAGCGCTACCTGGCGTCCTACCTCTGAGAATCAAGTTTGGACTCAGACTGATCATCCTATTGTCAGTTTCCGGTGGCAAGGATGCATACAAGTCTGCCGCTCCTTCTGGAACACATGTTTGAACTCTGATCTTGCGATTTGATGGGGTTCATAATCGGTGTCACCTAAATGCTGATGTGAGCAAACTGGTAGCACCTGTTACTTCTTTGAAACACCAGAATGAGTTACAGTCAATGCTTGCTAGCAACCCTCCAAGTAGTATAGATGAAGACTGGCTTTATCTGCAAGGCACCATGCAAATGGCGGGTGTAGCCGCTTGCGGCTTAAAAGAATGCTCCGCTAGAAACCACTGGTTTTCTGAGAGTTCCTTGAAACTCTTGGATGAACACCAGTCCATTCCGGCTGGCAGAAAGTACAACAATATGCGAAAGGCGCTTACGCGCAAGATTAGACAGTGTTTACGTAAGGACCGCGAAGCCTGAGGGTCAGAACGTGCGTATGACATGGAGTCATCTGCTGCATCTGGCTTCAGTCGGAAGCTGTTCTAGCTCATCCGAGCCACCGGCGGCAAGAAACAAGGTGTCAGCGAGCCGGTCTATGAGGCAAATGGCACGCCAATTACCAGCCTGAAAAGACGCCTGGAACGCGAATATAACTACTATACTTAAAAATGACTTTAAATAGACAACGATTAAAATAGACAATATTAAACAGCTGTGATAGTAGTAAAAAGATATTAAAGTATGAGAATGTTGATGATAAACTTTGAAGGAATGATTCTTTTCAGTCTTTCTTCAAGTGATGTTTCTGTTTATCACAAAAGTTAAACCTATATTAAACTCACACTAAAAAAGCTTTATATATATATATATATATATGTATATATAGTGAGTACTTTGTATAGCCGGTAAATAGAAATGTGGACAAACAGACAAACTAAGTTAGTACCCCGTAGAATGAATCATTGGTTAAATAGACAAAGAAGATAGATAGAGAAACATAAGTGTGGGAAGAAAAAAAGAGGAGAATTAAATGAAGATTAACCGAAATATTTAAAAAATAGAAAATAATGAAGATTGATTCTTCTTTTGTCATTGTGGTCAACCTAAGGTCATATCATGAAAAATTTGCAGTCACTGATTCCTTAGCATCTCGAAGGATGCCAGCCAGTCAAACTATACTTCCCTACGAAACTTATACCAAAAGTCAATGATGAATAAAACTCCCCCAAACTTCAGAAACTATGACAATGTATATTTTGACGCTTGAATCATGAAGACAATAGACTTTCTGATTAGTAAGTGGATTTGTAGTAGGCCTAACTAGTAATATATGTTTATTTTTAACAGTTGAAAATTCCCTCTTTAATTCTTCCACTGTCTCAGTGGCTTAAGCACATTGACTTTCCGCTGATGGGTAATGAGCTCGAGGTCCGCTCCATCTACCTCAGTCTGGGCAAGTGGGTGACTGAGTTTAAGCAATTTTTTCCAAGGTACAATTGTAATTTTTCATTACTGAACTACAGTCAGCGGAATATTATATATATGTATGTATGTATTTTATATATTACATCAATCAATCTAGTTACTTAATCTTGCTTTGCTTTCAAAAAAATGTGATTATTATCTTAACATTGAGTAATTCCTTCCAAATGTCTTGAAATTTAATCTTGACTGAATTTCGCTAAGACAGATTTGGAAATGTGATATATCGTGCGTGAGCTAATGATTAAATTACAATACTTTATTAGAAAGAACAGACTGGCATATATATATATATAATATATATATATTTATATGATTACAACTGAGGTGGAGAAAGCAACTATGTATGCTAACAAATAAAATGAACCAGAAGAACTTAGACTTAAAATCTTAATCATTAGGCAAAATCATATACAGTCAGAATTATTAACCTGCGTCAGCTGAAATGCTTGAGTGGTATTCTAAGCAGGAATTTACTTTTCGTTGAATTCTAAGGATGACTGAACTTTAACATTACCAATTCTGAGGGGAACCGTTTGATCTGATAGTGGAGATGTGGCTGGTTGCCTTAAGCACCGGACTTTCAACCAACGGGTTATGCCTTCGAATCCCCCTCCATCTACTTCCAACTGGGCTACTAGGCAGTATCACCAAACTTCATAAAATACAAGTGTGACTCAGCCTTGTTTTTATATATATATATATATATATATATATATATATATGCATAATTGTACCTGGACAAAATGCTATCAAAAAGAATATTTCTCGTATAACAATATGTTTCAATTATTATGGGGATCATTCAAACAGCTGTACACAATACATAGAAGGAGAAAATTTCTCAGAGCCACTGTAAGTCAATATTTCTCTAAGATGACAAATGGAATGCTCACAACAATCAATAAACAAACTATTTTCAGATTATAGATTTTGCGAGTATTTGGCTTAATTTCCATAGAGATTTCATGACAAGCCAACACTGGTCACAGGAATCGTTGAAAATCAGTGACTGAATGGTCACTTAACTCGTCTTGTAACCCGAAGGTTGTGTTTTCGTTGTCTGGGAGAGACATGGGTGCAAATCGCTTGGGAGTCTCAATCTAGGACAAAACAGCTGTTCAGTACACTCTGTTTTTCAATTATTCTCTGACTAATATTCCTTCC